CTTAGAGTATTTTTCCTGCAAATGAGAGTACTAATTTATTTAATACAGCAATAACCAAGCTCCCAAGACAGTCATTTCCTCTCACTGAATAAAATAAGAATCAAATTTTAGTTAAAAATAATGAATTTAAGTTTGACAGGAAAAAGTAACTCATTGATAGCATATGTGGCAGGTATAAATATATTTTTAAAAGTGTTCTCTGGAAATCTTTAAGCTTATGCAGCCCATTTGGAGACAAAGACCAGGATGCATATTATCTTTGGCTCTTCACTCTGACTTCTGTGAAGAAGTTCATGAAAGTAAGGTTTTATTAGAACATATCCATACCCACTTGTGTCCATATTGTCTATGGCTGCCTTCCTGCTACAAAGGTAGAATTGATCAGCTGCAGCTGAGATGAAAGAGCTCACAGATCCAATAGTTACTACTTGACCCTTTACAAAACATTTGCCAACCTTTCTAGAAAAATAGCTTTGTTCTGGGTCAGGCTGAGGATTAGCAGCTTCATCAGTCAGATCAATGTTGAGGCCTATACAGATAGCCTTATATTCTGTAGTGACTGTTTAGAATAGTAGAATCTCTTAATACACAGGCAAAGCATGAGTCTCTTCTGTGTTCATGCACAGTATCAAGTGGAGGGAGGTAAGAATGGAGATCATCTAGCCCCTGACCTATGTCTACTGGGAAAGATAGACATAAGCAAACAGCACAGCATGATAAGGAATTGCTAAGTGACACATTTAAATAAGACTATAAAGAATGTTTGGCATCGTGGTTAATACATAATAAGCAATTTAAAATCTGAAGCTCTTAACTTTTAACTATTTTTATTATAATTCTCAAATGCCTTGCAAGAAAAACTGGAGACATCAGAGGTATATTACAAATTCTGGGGTTAAAGTAAGTCTAAACAAATCTCTGAGCAAGAAAGGACAGTATGCCACCACGTCAGGAATAGAGGGATAGGTTGTGGCTGTGAAATATAGATGTATATTTTGTCAGAACTTGGGCAGCCCCAGCTTAGCAATTATAGGAAGGAAAAATCTTATAAAGGGTCTGAGATCTAATTCTGAAAGACTCATTGTTGACATACAGAGAACAAAAGCAACAAGAAAAAGTCAAGTTCAAGGAAATTTGTTTCTTTCAAGATAAAGAAGCATTAAACAAAATTGAGAAAAAGAAGAGGAAGATAAAAGGCACAGGGAAGGAGACTGATGTGTGCTGGGACTTGAATACCTGTCAAAGTCCTATGTGCTGAAGATCCGCTCTCCAGCCTGTGGCACCCAGTGGAAGGAAGGTAGGTCATGGGACTGCCAGCCAAGGGGATATTGGGACCCTTCCTTTTAATATCTCTCTTTGCTTCCTGGCTGTCATGAATGAGCAGTTACACTGTGCCATGCATTCCTCATCACAATGTTCTGCCTCATCACAAGCCCAAAGCCAAGTGACCACAGCTAACACCTTTAAAACTGGGCTGGGGTTTTAGCTCAGCAGTGTAAATGCCTCCCTGTCAAACGTGATGTCATGAGTTTGATCTCCAGTACAAAAAATAAAATAAAGGCCTAGGACTGCTGCTGCTGGGCCCGCCCCTTGGCTGTTAACTCCTGGGATGTCCCAGCATGATCCAGCTGCCTGGGACTGCTGCCACTGGGCCCACCCCTCTGCAGGAGCACTTGGGCTGCCCCAGCAGGCCTGGGTCCCCTAGGACTGCCACTGCTGGGCCTGCCCCTTGGCTGTGAACACTTAGGACACCCTGGCATGAACTAGCCTCCTTGGATTTCCACCACCGGGCCTGCTCCTCCGTGGGAACACCTGGGACATCTGCAGCATGACTGAGCCACCTCAGACTGCCGCCGTGGGCCCATCCCTTGGGGAACCCACCCACCTCCTGGATGTAGTACTGCAGTTGATCTTTGGACAGAATCCCTTCTCCCAGAACCTTGGACTACAGTGAATTACTATGCTGGCTGGATGGGAGACTCAGGAACCCCTCACCCAAACAGAAGACCTCAGCAGGCTTCAGTCATTGTGGTGAGTAGGCCCCTAAAATAGAGGTCTGCAGTGGGTAAATAGGAGTGGAAGTATAAGACCTTGACAGGCCTGGCAAGACAGTGGGTAATCCCCACCTCCATACAGAGAACATCAGACAGGTTGAGGAGTGCGCCAGTAAGGTCTCCACCAACTTGGAGAAAATTAAAAGAGCTTATGAGACTCCCAGTAATACAGTAGGGCCTCAGCTAACACAAATACTATAGACTGGGAGATCTGGTGATCTGCAACAACCTTAAGACATAGCAAAGGCAGGAACTAAGAGTTGATCTACATCAATACATCTAGGCTAGTTAGCCCAGAAAGAATATAGGACTCATCCAAAGGCCCTGTAGGAGGAATTCAGGAGACTGGCTCTCCTCTACATTGTAGCACCCAGCAATGGGACAAACACTAACCACACAGTAGAACCCTAAAATTCACACTACAGACAGTTGAGACTGTTGGGATTGAAAGACCAAATATTTACCCAAAAGTGAAAATGACAAAATGAAAAGGCAAAATGCAATCTCAAACATCTAGTCCACCGGAGCAAGTACAGGCAACACTGAAATAGAGGACTTTAAAAGTCATATACAGGAGTCTCTGAAAAGACAGCAAATGAAGTAAAGAAACAAATCCATGAAGCTATAGAGGAAATCAAATTAGAAATAATGTCTTACATAAATCAGATATAACAATAGTAAATAAGTTGCTCAACATAGGTAGAGAAGAAATAGATAAAAAAATACAGGAGCATAGGAAATTGAAACTTTGAATACCAATGCAGAAAACAAGTAAAATCCATGAAACAAGTTCAAAGAGATATCCATGAAACAAAAAACTCTATTGAAAGCAGGCAAAACCATTTAAATGAAGCTGAGGATAGAATTTCAGACCTTGAAGACAGGATTGCAGATAGCAATCATGAAAGGGTAGAACTTATAAAAACAAAAAAGACCATGAAATTACAATCCAGCAGCTTCAAGATGATGCCAAGAGAAACAATATAAGATTGATAGGCACCAGTGGAGATGCAGGAGTCAATGCAAATGACATAACTAAACTATTCAAAGAAGTAATAGCAGAAACTTTCCCAAACATGAGGAAAAAATCTGATATGCAGATAAGTGAGGCATACAGAATGCCAAAAAGTCACAACCAACCAATAAATCTACACCCAGACGTATACTAATTAAGATCCAAGACATACAGCATATAAACAGAATATTAAAAGCTGTTAGAGAAAAGACACAGCTCAACTATCAAGGAAAGTCTATGAGAATTATGGCAGATTTTTCAGCACAAATCTTAAAGTTAAGATGAGCTGGGAGTGAAGTATTTCAAGCCCTAAAAGAAAACAAGTTTCAACCCAGACTAATGTACCCAGAAAAACTGTGTTTCAAATTTAGTGGAGAAAGAAGATACTTTCATGACAAAGAACAACTAAAGGAATTCATGTCCACCAAATCAATCCTAGAAACAGTACTGAAAGCCATGCTAGATTGTGACAAAATAACCACAGTCTCCAGAACAACAACAGAAAGAAACCACCAGGCTGGACAAGAAATTAAACAAGGGAGAAAAGCAGGGAACCAACATGCCACAAGTCAAGCCAGTACATATCAGTGATATCCATAAATGTAAATGAGCTCAATTCACCTATCGAAAGAAATAGGTTGACAGAATGGATCAAGGAACAGAACCCCACAATATGCTGTGTACAAGAAACACATTTGACCCAAAAAGAACTCATAGATTAAAAGTCAAAACAGTCTTCTATGTAACAGGAACCTAGAAAAAAAGCAGGGGTAGCTATTCTGTTTGCAGACAAAGTGAACTTCAAACCTAAAAGGATTAAAAGAGATAAAGGAGGTTACTACATACTTGTAAGTGGAAAACTACAAGAGGAAGAGTTAACAATTATAAATATATATGCACCAAATACAGGAGCACCCAACTATATAAGACAAATACTAATGGACATAAAAAACCAAATACACAAAACACAATTGCAATAGGAGATCTCAACATCCCACTGTCACAAAGAGATAGATCAAGTAGACAAAAAGTCAGCAAAGAAATAACAGAATTGAATCCTACCTGTGGACTAATGGACTTAGTGGATGTTTATAGAGTGTTCCACCCAACCACATCAGAATATACATTCTTCTCAGTGCACATGGGACATTCTCCAAAATAGACCATACATTAACCTATAAAGCATTCTTAACTGAATGCAAAGGAAGCAGAATTATCCTATGCATAATATCTGATCATAGCACACTAAATTTGGAAATCAATGGCAAAAAACTGCAAAACTTGCATAAATACATGGAGATTAAATAATAACCTTCTGAATAACCAGTGGGTTACTGATGAAATTAAAAAAAGAAATAAAACAATAGCTAAAATACAATGAAAATGCAGATAAAACATACTGTAACCTATGGGACACAGTGAAAGCAGTCCTAAGAGGAAAATATATAGCAATGAATAGTCACATCAAGAAAATGGAATAAACACAAATAAGTAACCTAATGCTACATCTCAAGCTTCTAGAAAAAGGAGAGCAAGTCAAACCCAAAGCTCATAGAAGAGAAGAAATTGTAAAGATTAGAACAGAAATTGATGAAATTGAAACTAAAAAAAATACAAAGAATTAATGAGTCAAAGAGCTGTTTTTTTGAGAGAATAAACAAATCCTTGGCCAACTTTATCAAGAAAAAGAAAGAAAAAACTCAAATCTATGCAATAAGGACTGAAAAGCGGAAAATTACTACATATCTCACAGAAATTCAAAAGATCATGAACACTTGCTTTGAAAATCTCTACTCACATAGGGTGAAAACACAGAGGAAATGGACAGATTCTAGGAACATATGAATTATCAAAGCTCAATCAAGAAGATATAGCAATTTTGAATAACCCAGTATCAACTACTGAAATTGGAAATGTGATTAAAAACTTACCAACAAAGAAAAGCCCAGGTCCTGATGGATTCATGGTTGAATTCTATAAGAAATTTAGAGAAGAATTAACACCAACACTCCTTAAAACTCTTCAATGAAACTGAAAGAGAAGCAGTCCTCCTTAAATCATTCTTGGAGGCAAGTATCACTCGGATACCAAAACCAGAGAAAGACTGAACCAAAAAGGGAAACTATTGACCAATCTCACTAATGAATATTGATGCAAACATTCTCAATAAAATATTGGCAAATAGAATGCATTAAATCATGAAGAAGATTAATACCACAACCAAGTGGCATTAATTCCCGGAATGCAGGGGTGGTTCAACATACGCAAATCAATAAATGTAACACACCACATCAACTGAGCCAAAAATAAAAATCACATGATCATCTCAAAAGATGCAGAAAAAGCTTTTAATAAAGCCCAACACTTTTTCATGATAAAACCCCTACAGAAACTTGGAATAGATGGTATGTACAAAGTCTCATAAAGGCCATCTATGGCAAACCAACAGCCAACATTATACTAAATGGACAAAAACTGAAAGCCTTCGCTCTAAAATCAGGAACAAGACGAGGATGTTCACTATCGCCATTCCTATTCAATATAGTTCTGGAAATATTAGCCAGAGTAATCAGACAAGAGGGAGAAATAAAAGGAATAAAAATAGAAAATGAAGAAGTAAAATTATCATTATTTTCAGATGACATGATACTTTACATATAAGACCCCAAAAACTCCATTAAAAGACTACTAGAGATAGTAAACAAATTCAGCAGCATAGCTGGATACAAAGTCAACACTCAAAAATCAATAGCATTCTTGTACACAGACAAAAAGCTCCATGAGAGAGAAATTATGGAAATATTGACTTTCACAATAGCATCTAAAAAAATGAAATACCTAGGAATCAACCTAACCAAGAATGTAAAAGACGTATATGCTGAAAATTATACTATTCTAAAAAAGGAGATTTAAGAGGATATTAGAAAATGGAAGGATATTCCTTTCTCTTGGTTAGGAAGAACCAACATTGTGCAAATGGCCATACTCAAAAAACTGTTATACAGATTCAATGCAATCCCCATCAAAATACCCCTAACATACCTTACAGATCTAGAGAAAATATTCCTAAAATTCATCTGGAAACAGGAGAAACCTAGAACAGAAAAGGCAATACTGGGCAACAAAGGCAAGACAGGAGGCATCTCAATTCCTGACTTGAAACTATACAACAAAGCCACAGTGATAAAATCAGCATGGTACAGGCAAAGAAATAGACCTGAGGATCAATGGAACATATTAGAAGGTGCAAACACAACTACAAAGACACTCAGCCACCTTATATTTGACAAATGGGCTAAATAAGTTCACTGGAAAAAAGATAGCATCTTTAATCAACGGTGTTCGAAAAATTGGCTCTCCATATGCCAAAGACTAAAAATAGACCCATGCCTATCACCATACACTAAACTAAAGTCAAAATGGATCAAGAATCTAAATATTAAAACAGAAACGTTAAATCTACTGGAGGACAAGATAGGTAAAAATCTTGGAGATGTAGGGGTAGGCAGAGAATTCATGAATAAAATGCAAACTGCATGGGAAATACTTCAAAAAATCAACAACTGGGATCTCACATTACTAAAAAGTTTTTTAAAAAATTTTTTTGTCTTTTTTTCATTTTTATCGGTACAGGGGATCAAACTCACAACTGCCTGCTTGCAAGGCAGGTACTTATGCCGCTAAGCTAAATCCCCAGCCCCTTACTAAAAAGTTTTTGCACTTCAAAAGAAATCACCAATAAAGTGAAAAGAAAACCCACAGAATGGGAAAGAATTTTAGCCAACAATTCCTCAGACAAAGGACTTACATCCAGAACATTTAAAGAACTGAAAAATATCAAGCCCCCAAATTCAAAGACCCCTCTAAGAGATGAGCACACAGTTCTCAGATGAAGATATACAAAATGACAAACATCTGAAAAAATTTCCACCATTACTGGTCACTGGAGAAATGCAAATTAAAACAGCATCGAGATTTCATCTCACCCTGGAGAGAATAGCTGCCATCAAGAAAACAACTGATAACAAATGTTGGCGAGGATGTAGGGAAAAAGGAACACTTCTCCACTGTTGGTATGAGTGCACACTGGTGCAACCACTGTGGAAATCATTATGGAAATTTCTTAAAAAACTAGGAGTGGAAGTTCCATTCAATCCAGCTATTCCCCTCCTGGGTATTTTCCCAGAAAAATTGAAAAGGTCACGTCACAGTGATATATGTGTACCCATGTTCATAGCAGCACAATTTGTGATGGCTAAATCTTGGAAACAATCAAAATGCCCTTCAACTGCAGAGTGAATGAAAAAAATGTGATATTTTTAATATAATGGAATACTATTCAGCTTTAAAAAGGATGATCTTGTGGCCTTTATAGGTAAATGGAAGCAACTTGAGAATATGCTCATTAGGGAAATAAGACTCACAAATAGCAAGCATCACATTGTCTCTCTAGTATAAAAAAAACTGACAGAATAATAAGATCCAAAAAGTATAAGATATTGTAAATGTGAAAGGGAAGGAAAGTATTCTAAAGGATATAATGACATGTATAGTGTGTAAGATAGATGACCATATTACTAAATTTCTATTAGATCATTAAACAGAAGAGATTGCACTGTCAATGTTTGAGTGCCTAGCCACTTGTTATGCTTCGATTTTGTAACTTTGACAACTATTGTTAGGATGCCAATACGTAATGTATCAACTAGTGATTTTATAATGTTAATTTTTTTGAATTCTGTATTTACTTTTTTTTCTATTTTGTTTTTTAAATGTTTTCTTTTCTTTCTTTCTTTAAATAAAATTCAAAAAATAAAATACAAAATAAAACCTTTAAAACTGTAAACCAGAAAAACCTTTCCCCTTTTTAAGGTGAATTTTATCTACATGAGATGAAGCTGATTAACTCAGCAAGAAGCTGGAGCTAGATCTGCAAGAGGACATCTTGGAAAGTAGACATCATCCACCGAGAGAGTAAAGAAAAGGGAACATTTGGGTAAAGCTAGGGTGGAGCCTTTCTAGAAATAATACTTTTGGTCTCTCTGATACCCTAAACCAGTTTCTTCTGGTTACAGTACCCTCCCATCTTCCTTCAAAACACTTTGCCGCTACTCACTCCATAGAACTGTAGAAAAACGACTGATCAGAGCCCTTATCTCCACCTCACAGCTAGCACATGACCCCGGCTGGCCGTTCAGAGTGCCTGGCTTCCCTCTGTTACCATGGGCCCACAAGCCAGGTGACACGGAGGAGAGAGACCCTCATGAAGTTACTCAGTTTCTTTGTATTAGAAGTCAGTTTAGTAGACAGCTAGTGCAACTCACATTTCAGGATCTTCACTTGCACCTTCCAAGGCCCAGGGAATACCCTCTGGATCACTATTTATTACCATTGAAAGACCTAGAAAGGCTACAGGCATTTTTGAGATATTGTGAAGGGAAAATTGAATCAGGAATCCATATACAGTAAGTCCCCAATTTACAAACAAGTTCCATTCCAGGAGAACAATTGTAAGCCTGATTTGTTTGTAAATGTGATAAAGTCTTACATACTTTTGGTGCAGATATACAATAAAGCATAAAAAATCAGCTACACACAAAAATACCATAAACTGTTTTTAATTTTAGTTACCTTAAAATGGTGATACAGTGTAGTACAATTGGCGTAAAGGAGATTGCATGGCGTGAACTGACAAGAGAGTTACTCACAGGAGGAAGGAGGAATGTCGCGGTCCACGCTGTGCAGGGTTAAGCCGCTGAACACAGGAAACTCTGGCAGAATGAAAACAGTTCACATTCAGTCTCTGTTCACGAGATAAGCTGCAGCTGCAGGCCACTGACTCTCACTCCAGGAATTTAAGGGCAATAAAACTGTCAACCTTAGAGACCAAACAGTTCTCCTAAACAGCAAAATTTGCAGCCTGCTTTTGAAGATACTACTCATTTTTGTAGGCTTTTGCCTCAGATGCGCCTCCTCTTCCTGCAACCCCCACCCACCCAATCTGTGGAAACCCAATAAGCACTAACGGTGATCCAGATACCTTTGTCTTAGCTCCTGGAGAGAGTTCTGACCTTCCTGGACTCTCCAGACCATATCACATCGTCTTCATAGAAAGATCTTGGCTGTGCTTGTCAGTGCTTTTGTGTCTCCTGCATGGTAAAACCTAGAGAGGCTTCAGTTTCACATCACCAGAAACTTTGAAGCCTGCATCACTTTTAGTCTTTCCTGGTGTAACTTTATTGTGGCATCTTCTTCCAGTACAGTCCTATCTCATCGACATTAAAATCCTGTTGCAGTAAATAAGCACCTTCATCAATAATTTCTCTAAGTGTTGCTGGAAGTTCTTGGGCAGTTAGTCATGCTGTATGCAATCATAGTCTCACCATTTCCCCACCAGCTAGTACGAAGACTAGCTCTAACCTTGACTCTCTTAAGCCATGCATGGCTGGCAGTAAAGGATGCATACTATTCACCCTGTTTTTTTGCTTGAAGTCTCCAAACAGGCTTTTAGCTTTTACTTGAATAAGCATTAAACCGAACAGGACTCAACACTGGTGCTGATCCTGCATCTACACTCTGAGGAGTTTCTCCTCCTCTATCACTTTAACACACTTTTTGGATATCATTCTTCACTGGCACAGCAGAATTAGCAATTCCACGATCTTGCCCTTGTTCTTTAGAATTGGCTAATAGGTCAATGATTCATGTTATAAGAATGAGTGACTTGCCTTGGTCTAATCTCTCAATTATTTTCACTCTTGTTTCCATGGTTATTGCTTTGTGCTTCTTAGCAGTCCTCTCCACATCACCGCCGAATGGAAAAAGGATTAAAGAACCATCTCAGATAACTCATTTTAAAATATTACATTTCAGAATTTTGTGAGTTTGTGGCACTTGTAGTATTCTTAAAAACAATGAATTTCTGAAGCCATTCTCTGTTCTTCCTTGCTGTTGACAGACTGAGTTCCTTTTCCACCTAAGCAGGCTTGAGTTCAGTTTCTATCACTTGCCACAGCCCTGATTAATGCAGCAGTAACTTATTGCAAACACTTTGTTAATACTTCATACAACCATGGATTGCTTAATGATAAAGACACACTCTGAGAAAATATGTTGTAAACCCATTTTGTTCCATGTGAAATTCAGAGTGTATATTACTCACACAAAGCTATGTGGTATAGATTAATCTCAGACATGGATTCTCCGTACACTCAAGAGATGCAGTGGAAGTCAGAACAAGGAGAAGCAGAGAATGGTACAGTAAACACAGCCTCTATGAGGCTGCTGCCAGAGGCACACAGCATTCTGTTTACAGTAAGCTTTCTTTTATATTTAGGGATAAACTCCCAAATAAGAGTAAAAGGAATAGTATGGCAAACATATAAACAGTAGCATTGTCACTTATTGTCATTATCAAGTATGTTTTTATGCAACTAGAATTACAGCAGATTTTTATACAAGCATCATCACAAAATTATAATGTAGCTACATCACTTCCTTTATAACCTTATGAGACCACCATTGTACATGCAGTTCATTCTTAACTAAAGCCTTGTTACACGGCACATGACAATATTTATTTTTTTAATCTTCATAAGTAGCATGTAAAACATTTTTGCATTTAAAAATGAAGAAACAATGAGATACCCTCCCCTGTGTCACTCGCTGAGGTTGACATTTAAGTCTGTCTGGTGAACATGGCCAGTTTATACATAGAATTTGGAGTTGCACTTCGCTGAATTTCTTCCGTCTAGAATCCCTCTCCCCTAACTTTCCCACAACCTCAAATGGTTGCCTCAAGCTCTGTCCTGTGATTCTTCAAGCCAGAAATATTGTAAGTTTCTATTGAGTTTTTGGTTATTGGGTTTATTGTTGTTGTTTTCAATTCTGGAGATCAAATTCTGAGTTTCATGCACGCTAGGTAAACACTTTACTACTAAGCTGTATCCTCAGGCCTTTCCTGGGGTTTTAGCTTTTCCTGATTAAGGCTTGATTCTGGTTAGAAACCATGAAAGAGGAAACTCAATGCCATTTATGTTTTCTACGGTCAACTCCTCTCCTGACTGTGCTGGCTCATTGCTTTCTAGTACCCCTCTCTGGTTTCTAAATCTGCATGACTACTAATGATATTGCCTTCTAGATAAAGCCATTTGCATGGCTCAAATTCAACATTGACCTCTTCCCATTACCCAAAACCAAACACTTTCCTTTCTGAATTTGTTACCTTAATGGACAGTAGAACCATCTCACACAAGTTCAAGGCAAATATCTGTAATTGTTATATCGAGATGCCCCCTCCCTCAAAGTCTCATGAACTCACAGATAGGGATTTGAGGGATGACTGGATTATGGAGAGTGATACTCATCAGTAGATTAACCCACTAATGAGTGTACAGCTAAATATAATGTTGGGAGGTAAAGTCTAGTGGGAAGGAGATCAGTCGTCACCGGGGGCATGGCCTGGAAGAATCTATCTCCTTTCCTCCTCCTTTGATTGCTCTCTGCTTATTGTTACCATGCCATGAGTTGGTTCTCCTCTGCCATGCCCCTTTGTTATACCACCCTTCCTTGGAGCCAGCTGACTATGGACTGAAACCTCTATAAACTGTAATCCAACTAAACATTTCTTCCTTTAAATTGTGGCTGTTGGATATTACCTCAGCAAGGAGAAAATAACTAAGACATTATCCTTGGTCTCTTCACTCCTCAAAATCTATTGATCTGTCTTCTTAACACCTCAGTTTCATGCCCATTTGTTGAGATCCATGATGCCAACTAGAAACAGAGGGAAGCTTGGAAGACACACTGGACAATGCAGGCACTCTGAAATGGTGGAGGTTAATATACCCAGATATAAAGAGTCAACCTGAAGAAAACATCTACTACATCAAATTAAATAACAGAAAAGAAAAGGGGGCCTCTCTTTTCCACAGCACTTCTTGTATCATTTACCCAGTGAAAACTGTTGGGGACAACAAATTCACAATGGCTAATTTTGTATACCTTCCTAAGGGATGAATGATATTTTGAGATTATGGTATCACCCTTTTGAGACTTCCTATTAACTCCTTAGGGATGGGCCATCTTCTCCCACCCAGTAAGACTACACTAAAACTAAAATTAGAAAGAACATTCCAGCACAAGATCCATCTTAGCCTAAAATTGTTTCTGCCCTTTTGATTCATTCCAGGATTATCTGTTGCCTGTTGAATCATCACCTGCTGAATCCTTTGTGGATTCTGAACCTTCCACTATCCCTTCTACATTGTATACACTCAATAAACAGTGGCTGGTTTGATCCTGAGGCATTGGCCTACCATACCCCCACCATGCATTACTAAATTTGTCTGTTTTTTAAAAATTTTATTTAGAATGTAGTAAAAATACAACAGAACAAGATGAAACAAAGCCAATTGAGACAATGTAGTGACAATGGTATAGAATTTCAAAGCAGAATACTGGGATAGTAGTAATATGTACTATAGTATATTTCATTATCTTCACAATAGTTATCCAGTCAATTAGGTATAGCGAAATCAAACCAATAACAGACCATTGTAAAACAAACTGAAGGAGAATATTACATAGAGCATAACAATCATTACAAAACATAACAGTGAAAATAACCTTTGCCTTCAAACAGAACATCGAAGGAAATCTGCATTTGCTATGTGGCATATGGTCATCCTCCCAAGAGATGCTCAAAACTCTGTCCTCAGTTGCTGATGGGTGTGGGGTGGGGGAGATGTTTGATTCTCAGCCAGCACACCGGTAAGCTCACGGGAATAGCTGACTGATTCTCCTCCTGGCCAGTGCTAGGGATGCCTACTAAGAGGGCGAGCAAATTGCCTTATTGTGCAGCTGCCTAAGTCCCACCATGGCTGGGTCTTGGGTAGCTGCTTCTGATTCTCTTCCTGGCCAGTGCCAGGGGTGCTTACCAAGAGCGTGGGCCTTGTCTCTGTTTTTTATTTCATCCTTTTATCATACCCATTATACAGGCAGTTGGGGATCATGGCCAGGTCCCCAGTAGAATACACCATCTTGAGAGTAGTTTTAACATCCTGATCAAAGGACCCAGTGCTTCATGTTGTGCCAGAAAAACGGTCTGAAATGGAAAGTTAAAAAAAGATTGTTATTAGCACAAAGGGCTTTGTCATGCTTATTGCCCTAGTAACCATGTACCTGGAACACCGACCACATAGTTATAGATTAATTAACTGACGCATCGCCATACTGTTCTGTATGCGTCATCACCTTAGTAACCTGTTTTCTGTGTCAACCTTTGTTCCTTTTGTGAGAGACAAATGATGCTGCGTCAACCTTTGTTCACTTTGTGAGAAACAAATGTTCCTGAAATTAGCAGACCAAGGAAAAAAAGGGCTAACCACCAACTGCGGAATGTCTCTAACCCCAAGCAAAGGGGAACAAAGGCCTTCCCCATTCTTGCTCTCATCATGTCAGCAGTTTAATTGCTAAAAAAATCTGTCAAAATTCTAACCCAGTTGCACAGCTTTGCAAACTCCATCTGCACTGTGCTGCTGGTACCAGCTTAAATAAAAGGGCTTCTTTTTAAAAGACATCTTTCCTCCTTCTTGACAACAGACAACATCATGGGGCTTGTTTTGGGGGTACAACACTTTACATGCAGGACTTCCAAGATAGACTCCCTACATATGCTCACTTCCACCTTTCCACCTGAAAGAGGAAACTTACAGGAAGATAGCTGCAGTTAGTGGTCCCCCAGGGTGATACAAGCTGAAACTGGTAACATGAAGGGAAGATGGAATTGTCAGCAGCATCAAAACAAGCAACGTCTTCCCTCATCATTCTTCTGAATATCAGAGATCTCTGTGTCCCTGCAGCAGCCTTCCCACTGCCCACCTGCCAGCAAGAGAAGCCCTCCACCCTACTCAAAGAACAAGTGGATACC